AATCAAGACCAAGTTAATACTATTTTAAGGGAAATAGCAAGTGTCTTTCAAGATGCAACCTTAGGAGCCATTAACGATGCATGATCTGAAACTCATAAAATAATTGGGTTAGAGTTAGAACGTTCTATGGAGATGACGATGAAGATTCTTACAAATGGATAGAAGCCTTCGAACGAGCTGCCAACACAAATAATTAGATTGTAAGAAGGAAAATCAGGATGGTCTCTGGTTACTTTGCTGGAATCACTCAGACTAGTTCCATGACAATAAAGAGAAGATTCTATACTAGGATGAGGAGATGTACAAGATGAGAGCTTTGTATCAATGTTTTTAAAGCACTTTCGACCCCAAAAGAAAACATCAATAGCAGGTTGAATTGAACTCACTGGTCCAAAAGGAAGGTGAATGTGTGAGAACGTATATCTTCAAATTTAAGAAATTGCTGAAAAGGGTTGCCTCTAGAAAAGCTCTGCTCAAAGAATATGTCATACAAATATTCATTGGAGGTTTACAAAAGAACGTAGCTTCATTAGTATCGGTAAAAGATCCTGAAACCCTGGATAATACCATCTCTGCCACTAAAAAAATAGAAGCTGGAAGATATTATGGAAACATCCTGTGAAAAAAAAGAAAAAAAGTGATAATAATTAGAAAGGTAATATGAATGAGTTGCACAACAAATGCAAGAAATGAAGATCGGCTACAATAAACTTGCCACTCTGTTGACAACCCAAGCTGAAGCTAATAATCTAAGAATGAGGCCTCCAGCCAGAATAACCATGACGGTTATATGTTACAAGTGTGGTGAAAAAGGCCACTATGCAAGAGAATGTCTGACCAAAAGAGAAGCCCCAGTTTCACCTGAAAGAAGACCAGCCTAACCAAATCACACTCTGAGACGTGAGGTTGAAGCCAATTATAGCAACATCGATGATGACTATGATCTTGAAAGGGAAGTCTTTACAGGAGAAAGGTACCAGCCCTACCAACATCAGAACAATAACTACTCACCAAACTCTAAATCACAATGGGAAGGTCATCCAGAGTCCACTTCAAGTAATTGAATTGGTTAACGAAACCCTTTTGTTGGGTAATGATTGGTTTGAGAGAGCTTAGGCCCATATACATTTTGATGAACAAAAAATGATCTTGAGGTATTTAGGAAAGATCATCAAAGTTCTCATCTTAAATAACGGATCAAAGAAATTATACCAACCTGAGGAAAAAGTTAATCTCAAAGGTTCCATTAGTGATGAGGATGATATGTTTGACCAATTGGTCTATGAGGATGAAGAAGTAGAGGAAATAGAAGTTTTCTTTTCTGAAGAAGCAATGAGTGATGATGACACTGAACTTTTTGCTAACCCCTGGCAAGATGTACAAAGCCCCACAGCATATCTGTCCCATGTTGAAGAATTGCCAATGACCTCTGTTGAACCTGAAATGAAAAATCTGAAAGAGAAAATCAGTGAGATGGATGTTAGTAAAGAATTAAATAAAGAGCAACAAAAGGAGGCTAAAGAAATGTAAAGAAGAAAAAGACATTTTTGTACAAACGTTGAAGAAGTTGGATGCACCAACCGAACTGATCATGTGATTGACATGGGTAACGCTGCTCTCATAAAACAAAAGGCATATAAAGCTGCCCCAGTGTTCAAGAGTTCATAAAGAACGAAATAATCTAGTTGAAAAAACGTGAATTGATACATAAGTCCCAAAGCCCCTGGTCCTTCCCAATTATGGTCGTACTAAAAATAGCAGTAAATTGAGGCTATGCATTGATTAGCGTAAATTGAATGTGGTGCCGAAAAAGGATACATATCCTTTATCCCATATAGATGATCTTCTGGAAGTGTTTTCTAAAGCAAGGTAGTTTAGTATGTTAGATTTGTTAAGTAGTTACTGGCAATTGCTTGTCAATGAAAAGGATAAAGAAAAAACAGGGTTCTTTAGCTCTTTCAGGACGTATGAGTTTAACATTATGCTATTCAGCCTGTGTAATGCCTCCGCCAGTTTTTAACAGTTGATGAACAAGATCCTGTTTGACTGTATAGGTAAGTTCGTCATGGTATACCTTGATGATATAAACATATACTTTGAATCTTTCAATGAATATTTGAACTATATTAGCATAATCTTTAATAAGCTAAGGGAAGCTAACTTAAAACTAAACTATGAAAAGTGTATCTTTTTTCACTCAGATATCCACTTCCTTAATTACGTTGCTAACCATGATGGAATCAAGCCCGATGAAGCAAAAATCAAGAAAGTGAAAAATTTTCTAATCCCAAAGACTCTTCAACAATTTTGTGGTTTTCTGGATTTGTCATTATACTACTGGCGATTTATTAAAAGTTTCACCATGATTGCTAGCCTTTTACACTATTTGCTGAGAAAGAACATTGAGTACAGATAGAGAAAACACTATGACCAAGCCTTTGAGATGTTGAAACATCACCTGATCACAGCCCAATTCTGAGGTACCCAAATTTTTCGAAGGCCTTTTATATTCATACTGACACCTCTGATTCTGGACTTGGTGCAGTGCTTGCACAGAAGAACGATGATGGAAAGGAATTCATAATCTCATATGCCAGTTAAGGACTAACGCCCCTGAGAAAAATTATGCTGTGACTGAATTAGAATTTTTGGCTGTCCTATGGGCAGTAGAACACTACCACTACTACTATGGTTTGAACCTGTTCATCATTGTTACTGACCACAGTGCTTTGAAATAGCTGAAAACCTCGAAACTTACTGATAGACGTACTCAATGAATGCTTCGCTTGCAACCTTATGATTTTACAATCCACCATTATAGTGAACAAAAACATAGTAACGGGGATGGTTATCCTAAATTTGACTCCTGAAAAAAATAAAATAATAAAAATAATAATAAATAATAAAAAAAAAAATAAAAAAAATAAAGAATAAATATAGGTGTAGCCGATGGCTACATGTAGCCTGTGTAACGTAAGAGTAATAGTAAGTTGTACAATCATT